TCTTAATTTGGAAGGATTTTCCTCTCAAAAAAATCCTCTTAAAGGAAGAATAATATTCTAATATTTTGACAAGTTGAAAATAACCGTAATACACAGGTTTTGAATAAATTATTAGACAATAATGGTTATGTATTGATAATAAAGTACAGTTTTGAAAAACAAAACATCAAAACTTCAACAAAAAAAATTCCTAGTGTTATTAATGTCAAGAGAACCAATAATTTTTTTAAATTTGAATAATATAATAAATATTTAATAAGGGCGCACTCACACCTCTGGCTGCCTGCACAGGCAGCCAGTGAGAGCCAATCAAAGAGTCAGTAGATTTAAATTTGAATTTTCTGTCTCTCTTACTCTTGTACGTTTTCTGCGTGGTGGGAGGCTGCCTGTGCAGGCAGCCAGAGGTGTGAGTGCGCCCTAAGATTTAATTATTTACATTCAAAAAAGGTAAATTATAATAGATTCATGGAATAAAGAATTAAATATTGGTTATTAATTAAACATTTCTGAAAAAAATTTCTTGCTTTTTGCTGAGCATCAATACATTAGATTTCATTACAATAATAATAAAAAATGCTACAGCCAGTTGCAAATATCAAAGAAGTTTGACGCAAATATTTAAGGAAATTAGTAAGAAATGAAGATTAATCGAGAGGTTATATTTTCTGTATTTACACCTCCATTCAATATATCCACCCAGATTTAAATCATTTAGTAAATCTTCAAGTCTCTTTTCACAACACTATTATGACAAAATACGAAAATTGACAGTTTCGAAAAACAAATGCGCAAATGTCAAACAGGAAAAAAATGTAATCGATATCATGTATTTACTTTTCCTTTTTTCAAATATACTAAATTTAAACAGGAAAATCGTAATTGAAGAGGAAAATGCAAAAGTACTCCTTTTGTCATTGTTCCATTACAACAAAGAATAAAAATATTCTACAGTGAAATGGAATATTCGTATTTTAAGAGGAAATATTCAGAGGATTTTAGAAGAGGAATTTTCCTCTAAATTTAAGATTACTTTTTTTTGGGTGCAAAGTTAAAAAAAAATATATTCATGTCAGAGAAATAAAAAAAAAACAACAAAACAGACTGAATATACAAAAAATAAATGAAAAAACATATAAAATGATAAAAATAAAATTTCCATTTTAAAATTGGAATAATTATATATACTATTTGTTAAAACGAAAATCGTATATATTCGTTTGAAATCTGTTCAATTTACAGAATTGCCTGAAAATGTCACTTTTCCAATATTCCACTGTAAAACAGTTTTTGTTCATAAATTTAATATAATTACCTTACATATATATATATATATATATATATATATATATATATATATATATATAATGTAATATCCATTCGTTATTACGCTTTAAAAAAAACTGTAATTACTTTTTCTCAATTACATATATATATATTTAGAATGAAATAACATGAAATGGAATTTTCAGAAAATAAATGCTTTTTTCTGAAAGTAAATTAAAAAATTTTTTTTTCATTGTAAACGATTTTGAAATTTGTTGAGAATTTAAAGAAAAAAAATAAAAACACAAACAAAGAATGGATTATTTAATTTAAATTGGAATATCTCTCTTTCCAAGCTGTGTGAGGTCCCGGTTGTTTTACAATACACGGTAAATATCGAAAATGAGAAAGGAAAATGGAAATTGTGAATGAGAAGTAAACGCGACAGCACACATGCACGTGAAACGAATACTTCAGTACCATGCGGTGCAAAATATCTGCAGAAACTTTCCCTTGGTGACATATGCTCTTATGTTTCCGTCTAAAGCTTTTATATATATATATATATATGTCACATTCGCACGTTCGGCGATTGCCTTGTATAAATTATTGAAGAGATTTTTATCGTCTCCCAAGTAAAAAACCGAATTTCCATTCTATTATATATTTTATACAGGGTTACTACGATTCATAAATGCAAAGAATTTAGGATAAATATTGTAAAATTAATGAGATATTGTCAAAAGAATATTGTTAAAAGATCGAATTTTTAAAAGTTTGAAAGATCTAATTTCAAAAAAATTCCAAGTACAAAAATATCGAATTTATAAAGAAATTCGATTTTTCAAATGTTCGAATTACCAAAAAATGGAATTATTAAAAGTTAGAATTACTACAACTACGCGAATATCATTCGATATATCGATAAACAAAAGATGAAATTGAATTTTTAATTGGGGACCATCATGAAAAGGAACTGATATTAAAAATGGAATGTCTTTTTTTTAAATAGAAGGATTTAAATATTATTTTTCTACTTACCATATGTCATAAAGAAATCATGCTGATTTTCATATTTTCTCTCTTCAAATCATTTTAAATGTTAAAAGAATTAAAATTTATTATGATAATAAAGTTTCAACATTATAAATTAGAATAGAATTTTTTCTTTCTTCATTGATTCACTGTAAAAAGAAGGTACTAAAATAATACCGATTTTAGGTATTAAAATAGAACCAAAAGGCAATTTAGTACCTAAAGTTGGTATTAAATTAATACCTCTTGTTTTACAGTGTTAAAATAAAATGTCAAAAAATTTTTAAAAACAAAAATAGACAACTCTTGATTAATAATTTAATTTCAACAAAAGTTTATTTATACACCAATTTTTTAATACTTTAACATAACAATATGTATGTATATAGTAATTTACTTTTCACCAAAAATTTTAAAATTATCAAAATAGTTATTTATGTGCGGCAAGGGCGCAAAAGTAGGGGAATCGAGACTCGTGTGAATTTGACAATCACGCGTGTCGAGATTTCCCTATTTTTGCGCCCATGTCCTATACATAATTTTTTTATAACATTTTGCGTCCAAAACTCGACTAAATTGCTGTGATGGAAGGGAAAAGTGTGCGTAAAAGTACGATTTCCCCTCCTTTTAAGCACGCACAGTTTTTTTTTTTTTTGACGCAAAGTGTTATAAAAAATAAAATCGGACAAGTGCGAGTTACACTCGCACTGAAATCGAGGGTTCCGTACTCGAAGCGAACTTATTTGGTATAAAAACAAATGTTTAAAAAATATGTGTTGTATGACAACTAATATAAGTGATACAAAAAGGAACAATTTTGTAAAATTCAAGAAAATTGTTCCTCTTCGTATCACTTATATTAGTTGTCATACAACACATATTTTTTAAACATTTGTTTTTATACCAAATAAGTTCGCTTCGAGTACGGAACCCTCGATTTCAGTGCGAGTGTAACTCGCACTTGTCCGATTTTATTTTTTAAAAAATATTTTACTAAAAAAATATAAGAAACATAATTTTATTTCAATTCGCAATATTTTTATTGTATTTACATTTTAAAAATATATTGAATATTAAATTTTATCTTTCTAAGTCAAAAAGAGATAAAACTTAAGATATTGATATAAGGCTAGTAGCTGCTTGTCAAGGAAAAATCGAAAGTTATCTAAAAAATAAAATTTGTTTATTAATTCCAGAAAAATCAACTCCAATCATCCTCGCTATATTTTTTTTGTAATCTACACGTAAAAATACGTCAAAATATATAAATTTGAATCACTGTAGAAAAACTTTTTTCGTTTTTTGCGGAAAAATACATTTTTTTCTGAAATTTATCATTTTTCTTCAAAAATTTGATCAAAATTGATCATCAACTCCAATCGCGCTTACATTTTTTCCCTGTATTTTTCACGCAAAAATTGAGTTTTACAGCAAGTATGAACAGTCTGGATTGAATATTGTGTGCGCTAGGGAGAATAAATCATTTTTTTCGAAATTTTTGATTTTTCCTTGACAAAGCTATGTAAATTAATCCGAATCAAGTTCGCTATAATTTTCCTGTAATTTTCACGTAAAAATACGTAAGTGTGTCAAATTTGAGCTCTTTATGTCAAAAGATGTGGCCGCTAGGGGGGGGGGGTACATACTCATTTTTAGGTATTTTTCGTAAAAATTCATGGTTTTTCCTTGACAACGCTATGATAATCAACTCCAATCATGCTCGCTATATTTTTTTTTGTAATCTACACGTAAAAATACGTTAAAATATATAAATTTAATTTCCTTTAAATAAAATTTTGTTCGTTTTTGGTGGAAAAATACATTTTTTTCCTAAAATTGTCATTTTTTCTTGAAAAACTTGATAAAAAGTTAATCATCAACTCTAATCGTGACCGCTTTTTTTCCCCTGTATTTTTCCCGTAAAAATACATTTGTATACTAAATATGATCTGTCTGGGTTGAATATTGTGTGCGCTAGGGAAAATAAATTATTCTTTTCGAAATTTTTGATTTTTCCTTGACAACGCTATGTAAATTGATCCGAATCAAGTTCACTATAATTTTCCTGTAATTTTCACGTAAAAATACGTAAGTGTGTCAAATTTGAGCTCTTTATGTCAAAAGATGTGGCCGCTAGGGGGGGTACATAGTCATTTTTCGTAAAAATTCATGGTTTTTCCTTGACAACGCTATGTTAATCAATTCCAATCAAGTTCGCTATAATTTTCCTGTAATCTACACGCGAAAATACATATGTGTACTAATTTTCAGCCCTCCAGATAAATTTATGTGGCCGCTAGGGGGGGGGGGGTACACGATTTCAAAAAAACCGATATTAATAGGGTTCCGAACCGAGTACGGAACCCTAAAAATTATATAAACGTAAACATATTTTCAGGACATGTTTTTTTAAAATTATATTTTTATTATCTATTGTTTATTTTACAGTTATTATATTTTTTGTGATAAAGAATAAAACTCAATTTTTGTCCATTAAAAATTTAATAGTTCAATAAAATAGAAATTTTCAAAAATAGAAAAAACCAGTTAATTAGTCACTAGTTATTTTTTATCGCAAAAAATATAATAACTTCAAAAGAATAGATAATAAAAAATTATTTTAAAGTCTTGAAAATATGTTTAAATATTTTGATAAAAAAAATGTATACTGTATAATTATAGGTAATTAATTCACTAGTATAAAAAGGTAAGGGAAATTTCTTTATTCACAGTATTTTGCAAACTTCGTAAAAGTTATAATTTAAAAGTCAATCATGAGGGCAATTTCTATTCTTTTTGTAGCAGCAATTTTAATTGTTTGCTATGCTACATATGGAGATGCGAATCCAGCGGGTAATTATTAGAAATAAAGAATTTTAATACTTTTTTCAATTAAAGGAAAAATAAATAATATTTTTGCTATTTTTTTTAGCTGCACGAGCAGCAGCTATACGCCGGATGAAAAAGAAGAAGCAAAAAAATTAAATTGATTTTTCAATTGAACTCTTTAAAAATGTGGAGTAAATAAAAATTTTGTTTGATCATTTAAATTTTTGGGTGAAAAGTAAATTATTATACATACGTATTGTTATGTTAAAAGTATCAAAAAATTGGTTTATATAAAAATTTTTGCTGAAATTAAATAATTAATCCGTCTATTTTTCATTTTAAAAATTTTTAACGTTTTATTTTAATTAATGACAAAAAAAAATTATTCTATTCCAATTTAATCTTGAAACTTTATTATCATAAATTTTAATTCTTTTTACTTTTAAAATAATTTGAAGAGAGAAAAAGAAAATCATAATTATTTCTTTATGGCATGTGATTAGTAGGAAAATAATATTTAAATCCTTCTATTTAAAAATTTTACCTTTTTTCTTATATTATCAAAATGAATCTTGTCTATTTTATTTTAGTAAATTTTACCGTAGTCTTAAATTGAAATTAGTAAAAAATTTCAATATAGGCATAACTTTTTTTTCATTACACCAGCAAAAGAAAAAACAAAATAATTTTGTTGATTCAACATCACAGTTTGCTTACATCTTTTTTTTTGCCTTTAATTAGTTAGTTCCGTTAATTTTTTCTACTTTCAAGTCAATTCTCTCACTTTTACGTTGTGAAATAGTTTTTTTTTTCCTAGAGAAAGAGGGAGAAAAAGAGGAAGAAAAATATTGGGTTTGCTTTGATAGGTCGTCACTCTTCATTAGAGACTCAGGAAGACTCTTGGAGTGTCTTGGACAAATGGAGTATCCTGGAATAAAAGAAAAGAAAAGAAAAAAAAAAAAAAAAAGTAAAATGGTGTTTAACGGGATTCGGCACACACAACGGTCGAGCGAAACGCGATGGAACTAAAGGCATCATTAAAGTTGAATTAACCATTATTCGCAGCCGAGGTTGCCTCTGTTGGTTCTAATTAACCGGCGAGATCGTAAAGTTTAATTATTTGCCGGCAAAATGCATGCTTGGCGACAAACTCTCCGCTCTTCTCTTCATTCCTGCCAAACGCGTCTCAATCTCTCCCTCTCTCTCTCATCCTAATCTTGTACCATGTTATACACTTGCAACGAAACATTCGGCGCGCAAATGATGTTTCTAATCCTAATTAATTGGATTTACCTGGCGCGATTTTCTTAGATGGCGAGACATATACACACACACACACACAACGCTTCAAAATGCCTCTCCAAATCAACTGTTTTTATGTCCCGGCAAAATGTGTATATATACAGTTCCAAATTAGGATCTTCAATTTAGGTTTTAATTTGAAATTTAAATTAGCAATTCTCGACACTGGTAATTTCAGTTGGAACTGTTGTTTCTCGCCTATAACAATATAGCGTCTCAATTATATATGTATATGAATTTTGATGTTTATTTTATAAACTTTCGAAAATTTATCATGAAAAATAGTAATAGAAGTTCTGTGTATTGCCAAGCTTTTATCTTGACAATTGGCAGCAAGATAAAAAAAGTTATCGCTCAATGCATAAAAACTTGAAAATCAAAGTCAAACTGTTACAGTATTTTGTCTCGCATTTGAAAAAAAAACATACTTAAAAATCATACAAAATTTTTTTCTTATTCCTTATGACACCCATAACAGAAATTCACTTGAATTTTTCATTTTTGTCAAATTGTTTAATAATAACAAGCTGTCCCCATTTACCCTCAGTTTTCAAATTTTTGGGGTAAATGTGGACAGCTTGTTATTATTAACCAAATTGACAAAAATCAAAAATTCAAGTGAATTTCTGTTATGGGAGTCATAAGGAATAAGGAAAAATTTTTGTATGATTTTGAAGTATGCTTTTTTTCAAATGCGAGACAAAATACTGAAATAAAAAAAAAAATAAAAAAAATTTAATTGGTTCAACTATTATATATTTACTATAAATTTTTTTCAAGTTTCTTCATCCCTTAATATAGTAATATACTTAAGGAAACTTTTTTCTTAAACTTTTCTTAGAAACTATGCTGTCCTCATTTACTCCAAATTTTAGGAAATTTTCTAAATTTTGTGATAAATAGGGACAGTCAGTTTTATGCGTTTAAATTCTATATAAATTGTAAAAAATAGCGATTTTGTCCCCATTTACCCCAACTGACCCTACTTAATTATTTTTTTTTTACATTTTATTTATTTATTGACTTTAATTGACATTTAAAAAATTAAAACATCATTAGTAATATCCGCTTGGAGAACAGATAACAAAAAAGTAATTTTCACTTTTCTTAAACAAATAACCATATTTTAAACAAACGGTGCACTTGTTTAAAAATCCCAACGCAGTGACGATGTTAAAATTTTTTTCTGGATAAAAGAAACCATCATTAATTTAATAATTTTAATACGAATCATTTTAAAAAAATATTTAAACGGATTTTTGGGGTGATTATCAATCGATTGTAAGATTTAAAAAATTCAAAATGGCAGATTCAATATGTCGACTAAAAAAATTTTTGAATTTCATCGAATTCACTCGAAACTTGTCACTCGGTGGTTTTAGAAGTCACTGAATCAAAATTTGAAGTCAGATTTCAAATTTAAGCAAATTATTAGACCAAATTTTAAATTTTGGATTTAATTTAATTTTTTAAATTTGAAAAATTTAAAAATTGACATCTTTGAAATCGTCTCCAACATAATAAAGAAAGTTATTGTTATATTAGTAATTCAGACAAAAACTATATATAATTGGAAAATTAACTTTGTCTGGCGTAAACTTTTTTTTCTACTACTTTAAAGGCATTAAAGGCAATAACAGTTGTTTTTTTTAACCAAACAAATTCTGTGCACTTCTTTTATTGTTTGCTTTTCGAATAAACAAAACAGACAAATATAATAAAAGCAATACGTATGTAATTTTGTGTCATCGCACTGTTATTTTAACGTAAAACAAAAATTTACAAATATAAACGAAAAACGCACGTATTAAAATTTTTATCATATGAACAATTTTAATAATAAAAAAGAAGGAAAACTAAGAAAACGATATTTTTAGTTCAATCATATTATATATATATATATATATTTAATTCAAACTTAGTATACATGGAAAAAAAAGAAATTGGTTTACAGGTGCTAACTGCTATCAGATCTGCCAAAATTAGTAACCACAACTAAATTTTTTGCTATGACAACAAAAAAGTTTGCTGTGATAAACAATATTAGTCTTAATTTTTAAAAATTTACTGCTACAGCAAACTTTTTTTGACCCCATAGCAAATTTTAAATATATTTTTAGTTCTGTTAAAAACTACGTTTTAGTTTGAGGTTATGTTAATGGGTTAAACTTCGTTAAATATAATTTTTTTTCATTCAAAGTTAGTATATTCTTCATATACAGTTAATTATCTTAATATATTTATTAATAAATGCAACACAGGATAAATTTTTACTTAAAATGATCTCCGAACGATACACGAAAAAAAATTTGTTAAGTTAAGAATCATTTCAAAATCTTTATTGAAAGGTTAGTTTCTATTGTCCACCACTCGCCAGAATTCCTACTCGACATTTGTCATAATTCTCGTCAACTATCGCATCCTGATCTAGTAAAAATTTAGTGACTTTATTGTTAAAATTAAAAGTTACTAAATTTTTACTAGAGCAGGGTGCGGTAAATGACGAGAATTATGACAAATGGCCAGTGGGTGTTTTTGGCGAATGGGCACAATGGAAACCAACCTGTCAATATAAAATAAGTGGAACATCTGAATTGTGTCACTTTGCATGGAATGGTAGCTTTTTTCGATACAGGGCGGGAGAAACTTGAATAGAAGAAAGCAGGATGAGGCAAGTGTCAAAAATATAAATGTATGTCATATTATATTACGGACGCTCTAATTGATTTCCAGTGTAGATGCGCTCATTCTAAACTAAATTTTAACTTTTTTAAACATTTTATTTAATACAAATAAAATTTTTACTAAATAAAATTAAATAATATAAATTTTATTTGATTATTATTATTTAAAACAAATATTTATTTGACTTTATTTGGTTAAAAAAAAACATTTAAAACTGAATATAATATTTAAATTAAATTGAATACAAAATAAAAAATATTTTTCTCTATAAATTCCCTCTATACTGTGAACAATAAAACAATTGACTAAATTTTATTTTTCAGTTTATATATAAGGCACAAATTCCCACATGAACAGAAAAAAAGAGAAACCCTCCATAAAACATGAGTGTAACGGACGAAAGGAGATTTTACAATAAGGCGATTTTCCGTTGGTTGAAAATTTGTTCCCTTCGTACACGTTTCATATATATATATATATATACATAGAGGGTTATGCGCCAGGGTTTGAAAATTTCTCTGAAAAACATCTTGATATTTATGTGGTGGCCGATATTTTTCGCGTTTCATCGAGGAACCCATATACCTCTCGATGCTTGGAACTTTTCCATCGTATATGTTCCAGGCACACTGGCATGAGCTCCTTTTTCCCAATCGTTGTGAGAGAAGAGAGAAAGATTTTAAAAAGGAACATAGAATTAGGAACCCTACTTTACTTTTTCCCTTCAAAAAAAATAATAATAATAATAAGGAAAAAACGAAAAAAGGGGAGGGGGTGGAGTGAGTGAACTAAAGGCGATATTTTTTCCTTGAGACTGAAATTACTGATATACACACACATACACGTATACATATATATATATATATATGGTTGCATGAAACGTGCAAGAGAACCCCCATAGCATGTCTGCACCGATACTCGAGTGTCGGGAGTGGTTCGTATCGATTCCGCATAAAATTCGAGAATGGTCTCGGGTTCAAATTATTTTGGTGTTTATGACCAGACGGTTCTCTGCAAAACCGAAGCATATCGATATTAGCTGATGAAGTGTGGCCACATAAAAATTATAAATCATCCCTCTCATGCGCGGTAATTTTTATAGCAAAGTTGCACGCTCTCTCTTAAAACGATTATATATACATACAAAAGCCGACAGTCGAGTCCTCATGTTGTTTTTAATTAATGGCTTTTTAAACATTTTTTGTGGGACAAGTAATGCGGAGAGAGCGATTAAATAGAAATTATTGCATGATTCCATAAATATTTTCTCTTTAACAACAGGCTCGTTAAAAAGGGGTGCACTTTGCGAAAAATTACAAGGACGTTCATTCTGCGTATACGTGGATATCATTAAAGCGTGTTTTTTTTGGGGTATTTTTCTTTTTTTTTTTTTTGAATATTTATTTTTAGCAGACAAAAATTTTTTTTAAGCTTGTATATGTAAATACTACACGTTAATTTTGTTTGGCAAGTGGAAAATTTTTTAATTAGAGGTAAATTTATAAACCCAACTTTGGTTTATGTGGTGAATTGTATATATGTATGCGAATGTATTAATTTATATATATATATATATATATATATATATATTCTTGTCGATTTCATCTCTCAACATGCGGGTATACGCGGTATTAAAATTTTTTTAATAAAATATAATTCGTAAAGTGAAAATTCAAAGTTAAAAACTTTTTTTTTGCATATATATATAAAGCTAGATTTAATTTATTGTAGATTTTAATAAAAATTTTTATTTATTTAAGACAGAATTTTTTCTATCATACTTTCTATTTAATTTTTGAAATAATTTTTTTTTTATTTTTAATGCGATTGAAATTTTCTTTTTAAATTGGAATTAATTAAAAACACTGGAACGCCGGTTATTAGGACACTGAATTATTTGGAAAGCTTAGGCGCTTAAACGGGGTGAGGAGAAAAGGGAAGTATCTCTGCACGCAGTAGCGCATCTATTAAAGAATCCGTTCTCCGCCTTGATTTAATGTATTATTTTGCAATTATTTATTGGTGTTATATGAATATGATAAAAATTAATAAGCTGTGTAACAATTTTGCTAAGTAAAATTTGTTTTATTTCTAAAAAACAATTAATATTTCTCATTTAATTAATATTTTCTTTTCTCACGTCTCATGCGCCTAACTTCAAAATTGTTGTTCAACTGTCAAACTTTGGTTATGTATTTCAATCGAAGGCAAAAAAAAACTTCTTACGGCCCTGTAAGTTTATGCTTTTTCGTCAAAGTGACCTGTCCCGATTATTCGGACACATACCCGAGCTGTCCTAATAACCGGCGTTCCAGTGTATTTCTAATAATAATTTAGGTAAAATAACTTAAAATAACTAATTTTTAACGTTATTGTAAACGAATTTTAAGTTCATTTTTAACGTTATTATTATTTTTCTAATATCTTTTGCAGAATATGTTCTGTGTGTGTGTGCGTCAATGTTTATTTGTATATTTATTTATAAATTGTGTCAACCCTAAGTAGAATTAACATTTTCGAATTGTGCTAACCATAACCAGACATGTTTCGCGATTCGATTTTGCACTTCATTTTTTCATCAATCATGAACCGCACAATACATGCAATAAACTTACATTGCCGATTTCTTGTTTTCTTTATTCATTTTTTATGTTTAATTACATCGCTCACAAAACTTTTTTCGTTCCTACAAATGCACCGACGTCACAGCAGACGCTACTTTTTATCCTCCAAAAATGTAATGGCACAAAAAGTTAGGTTGCACTACGTGAAGCTTCACCACGTCCGTGCATAGATGACGCTAGTGTTCTTATTTTAAGAAAAGCGAATTGTCCAACCCTAAGTAGTGTCCAATCCTGAATATATTCCCCTAGTTAAATTTATTTTTAGGTTATGTTAAAATAATTAAAATTTTTGATAACTAATTCCATGGGAAATATTCTTAAATAGGCGCCAAGAATATATTCTTTTTAGAAATATAGTTTTCTCAGTGAGTTGATTTAAGTGTCAATTAATCTAAAATTAAATTGAGTAGCTGCCTGCAATAACTCGCCGAGCGCTTGGCCGATCGCTCTAACGCCAGTCAAACGTTCAAAAACGTGAAAAAAATGAAAAATCAAAATTTTGATTTTTGAAAAGTGCAATCTTGTAGGACATAAGATGGCGCATCTTTTTTTCCTTTGAGTTTTTTTTGTAGATCAAAAAATAGAGTTAATATATGCAAAACACTTAAAAATTTTATTTCACAAATTTCATTCAATTTTTAAACATAAATCATAGTATCTTTGACAAATTTCAATGAATCTTATTGAAAATTAATATACATACGTATTTAGGTCCATAGAAAACGACAACATAATCAAAAATATTAAAATCATCAATTGTTTATTTATAATTAATTGTAAATGAAGACTTGTCAATAATAATGTTTACTTATCTTTGTCGACATAAAGTGTGTGTTAATTGTTCACTTTCTTTTAGAAATATTCAAAGATTTTTAATAAATTTTTACTATTTTTTCAGATGAAGTGGATGTGATTGGATTGGATGGAATGGGAGGATATTTGAGCAACCAATCAGACACAGATGACCATAGCAGTGTGCAAAGTAGCAGTGATAGTGGCGTCGCGATGTCCACCTCAAGGCTCACCCTTTCCGAAATGATGGACAATCTATAGGTAATAAATTATTTTTATAAGGTGAAATATTTATGAATAACAAAATTATTTTTATTATTTGGTGGTAAATACTTAATAAGACTTTATTATTTTTATTATTTTACTATTAGTTGTTAACTAAGTACCTTTTGAATTTTAACGCATGAATTTTCTCCAAATTTCAAATGGCCTAAAAAACTTAATTGACCTAAATTCAATTGGCCTAAAAGTCGTATGAACTAATTATTACTTGGCATAATCTGTATATGACCTAATTATTATTTCGCCTAATCTTCATTCAATCTAATCCTCATTTGTACTAATCGTCATTTGTCCTAAATCTCATTTGGCATAATCTTAATTTAACCTAATTCTTATTTAACGTAATATTTATCTGCCCTAAATCTCACTTGACCTAAATTTTCTGTAAGCTAATACTTTTTTAGCCTCATTTTTATTTGACCTAATTATTACTTGGCCTAAACACCATTTCCCATAATTATTATCATTTGAAATAATTTTCATCTGACCTAATTATCATTTGGACTAAACGCCGCTTAAACTAATTTTCACTTGATCTAATCTTTATAAAACCTAATTCTCATTTGGCCTAATGTTACTTTATCCTAATTGTTATACTTGTTCTAATATTAATCTATAACATAATTCTTAATTGACCTAATCTTAATGCAACCTAATTTTCTTTTGGCCTAATCCTTATTTGATCTAATTCTCACTTGACCTAAACTTCATTTGTCACCCGCTCATAAACGCGAAGCTAATAAAAAAAAACTAACAAAAAAAAATTGTTTAGAATATTAAGGGAAGTCACAACTTTTATTGATTTTGAGTTCTTTAAATTTTATAATGGTTGCAGGAAGTTATATTTTATATCTTGTATCATTTGTGTCCTAAAAACATACAGGATATGGTCAAAAAAATAAAATATTTTAATTTTTCACCATTTCAGAAATTAAAATCTTAAAAATTAATATTTTAAATATCAATCTTCTTTTACAATTTTTACTATATTTCATTGCCAATTTTTTTCCACGCTTTTTTAATGATTCTTAAAAATCACTTGTATGGATTTTCAAAAGTTTTAATTTTTTCAAAAAATAAAAATTTTAAAATAGTCAAAAATTTTAATTTTGTATTTTTGTATGTTTTTAAAATCCAAATGATTCAAGAAAAAAAAATATAACTTCCTGCCATCATTAAAATTTAAAGGACTTAAAAGAAAGGTGGTGACTCCCCTTAATTTTACCAACAAATAAATAAAGCCTAACATTTTTATTTTGTTTCATCAGTTTTTTCTCCTTAAATTATTTTTTTAACTAAAATTTATTTTACTGATTATTTCCTTTTTTTTAAAAAAAAAGAATCATTGTTAAATTGACCTTAATGAAAGTTTCCTTGAAATTTCGCCGGAAATACAAGCGAGAGAGATTTAGAAAACAATTTTCAAATTCCATGGATTCTATTTCATTAAATTCTAATAAACAGGTTGCTATATATATAATCTTGAAACTGTAAAGCCTTCATGTATAAGTTTCCATGGGAGTAAACCACCTAAACATAATTCAAATAAATATAATGAAATAAGCCGCGTTCTTGTACTCTATGAGGTTTGCCTTTGAGACTGAAACTCATCGCCTCTCTCTCTCTCTCTCTCTCTCTCTCTCTCTCTCTCTCTCTCTCTCTCTCTCTCTCTCTCTCTCTCTTTCTATTCGTAACTAACATTTGATTGAAAATCGCCAATTTTCTTTGACCCGTATAAGAATGTTATTCACAGTACAACCAGTGAAGCGTTTTGGAAAGGGTTCTTTTTTTTTTTTTTTTTTTGCGGATGGAAACGAGAATGAACGAGGGATGGTTTTTGTGCGCGAAACTTCTCAGCAGGGTTAACGTACGACTTATCGAGCGAAGAATAAAGCCTCGATCCTCGAACAGATAGGAAATTCGTACGATCTTGTCGAGAGCTCGTATAAATAACTCTGCTGTTGTTATATCCACGAGAGAGAGAGAGCAAGTCTCAAGTGGAATGGGTGTAGAATAAGGTGGAGGAGAATGCAAAGAGAGAGAAAGAGAGAGGAGGGTCAAGCAGATGAAAGAAGCTGATGCCACTGGATGATGATCCTCATTTACAAATATATATGGGCGAAATCCACAAAACTTTTAACTTTTGTGATTCTCGAATCGAACACTTAAAAATCTGAATTATTTTTAATTAAAACTTTGGGTATCATTTTTTTTTTGCTAAATTATATACAAAGGAACATTTATGTACAATATTAGAACAAAATATTTATTTGACAATTAGTTTTATGAGTTAGAAAAGTGAAAAAATGCTTAAGGCCAGGTCCAAGTGAGGCAGCGCCATCTACATTGAAACTAAAATTTTGGAAAATTTTCAACAGCCTTTTCTTGAAAACAAGATGGTAAAATGCTTTTTCCTTTATGGATAATTGATTATTGGCAAGATATACACCAGCTAAAACTTTTTTTGAGTTAAAATAATAAAAAAAATTTCATGTCAATAAATTAAATATGAGCACTTTTTTCACAAAAACTGTAACAGTACTTTCTCAGAAATTACAATCAAAAATGCAATTTCCATTTGGAAAATCAATAAACGCTAAAAAATACACGACCTAAGATTTACCAATCACGAAAATAACAAAAAAAATTTTTATTAAATATTTAACATATTGATACTGCTTTACTGATTGTGACAGCCCTTTGGTAGATTATGTATTTCAGGTGGTTAGCAACAGCGCCAATCACCTCCTTTCGGCAAAACTGCGAAACGTCTGGTGACATATATAACCTGCCAAACGGCTGTCATAATAAGTAAAATATGTTATGTTAAAATACTTTTATTTTGTTATTTTCGTGATTGGTAAATCTTAGGTCGTGTATTTTTTAGCGTTTATTGATTTTCCAAATGGAAATTGCATTTTTGATTGTAATTTCTGAGAAAGTACTGTTACAGTTTTTGTGAAAAAAGTGCTCATATTTAATTTATTGACATGAAATTTTTTTTATTATTTTAACTCAAAAAAAGTTTTAGCTGGTGTATATCTTGCCAATAATCAATTATCCATAAAGGAAAAAGCATTTTACCTTCTTGTTTTCTAGAAAAGGCTGTTGAAAATTTTCCAAAATATTAGTTTCAATGTAGATGGCGCTGCTTCACTTGGACCTGGCCTTAAATTTCATTTGAATTTCTTGAAAAAGTTTATATTCTTAACGTTTTATTTTTGCGGCGTGTAAAATATCACTTCAGCTACTATGGAAATATCTAACAGACATAATATTTTGTCAAAAAATTTTCACTATCCCATTAGTGTGCCACCACTAAAACTAAAAATACGAAGGTTTGATTGAGTGATAGCACTTTTTAAAAAAATTCAATTGAACGTCTTCTTATGAAAATATCTATTACGGCGTTGGATAAAAATAAAAGTTCAATGCATTTCTTAAAGGGTGATGAAAAAACAAAAATTTTAAGACCTTTTTCAATGATGTGCCTCTAATTGAATTCCTGTGGCAACAATTTAAAGATGATAATAAAAATCGTGATTTCATTTAAATTTATACATTTTTGAAAGGCACAACTGCATTTTTGCTTTAAACAGGTCAATCTATGGTGTGATCGAAACATTTTCATACATATATATTTGAACACAAAAACGCCGCTTAAGGATTTTGAGTGAAATAAATTTTATTAAGTTAAGAATATGCTGAAAAAACTTTTTTCGAGACTTTACCCCCTCTTTTCTCAAAATCCTGACGTGCTAAGCAAATTTGAGTGCCAGAATCGTGTTCAGAGGACGAAAATACTTTGAAAACGACTCCGATATCAAAAATAAAAAAAGTTGAATTTTCCAATTTTATATGTAATTTATTAACATTAAAGAGTTTAAAGAGTTAAACATTGACGGCGTGAGCTAAAAATGAATCACGCATATGAATTTGTAGTGCTAAAATGTACTTAAACGTGTATACAAAGTGACATCAATGTGCCTGCAAATTAAAAAAAAGAAATTTTTTTTTTCTTGAAAGTTAAAAGTTTCGTGGATTTGCCCATATATTATGCTTAATTTTTTCGTTTTTTTCCCTGCTTTTAAATTCGACCGCGTTTGTCACTTGAGCACGTAAGATGACGAACAAAATTGGAGAACGTTGTAAAATCAGATGTGAAAGAAGATTCTTCTTTTTAGAATGAATGAATATAAATTTTTCTCAAATTAGAAAGCAAATAAATTATTACTTCTTTTTTATTTAAATTAAATAATAAAAGTTATATATAAATTAAAAAATTAATTATAACTCATTTTTTATTTCCGAGAAAGTTTAAAACCACAAAAAAACGTCCTTTGCCCACATGGCCTTAAGAAGGAATGTGCCATAACAAAAAGTAAAGATTTTTTTTTATGCTTTTGAAATATGTTAAAGTTGAATTATTAATTTTATGTAATTTTATAAAGTTTAAAAAATTTTCACCGTCTAGTTTTTAAAATTATTTGCAATTAAATTAACATTGTATCTTATAGAGTTAACCTCTCCTAACCTATAAATTTAGTTTTTTTTAACACTTTCAGTAAAGATATAATTCTAGAAATATGATTTTTTGATAAATTAAACCTCCAAAATAATGTAAAAAATTTTTAAATGAGACTTCACCGTCGATTAATGATATGAAAAAGATTTTTAAAGTGAACTAATAAATAAATTTCCAATATAAAAATTCATATTTTAACTTGGCAGCGGTTATTACATTTTTTTATGATTTTTATTTTATTTATTTTATTATTTATTTTTTGTTTTTCCTTTTTATCGACTATAAACTACAAAAAAAAGTCACTTTAGTCGCACTAAATTCTAAATAAAAATCCTGAAAAGTTGATAAATTTAATTCTTAATAAAAAATATTGCAATTTCTTTTTCCGTAAATTTTTTTTTCCCCGATTTAAGAGAAATATTATTCTAATTTAAAATTTTCGAAATAATATGAAATCAAAAAAATATTCATTTTTGGACAGATTTAAGTTTTCTTATATATTAATTTCAAGGAATTTTTTTCAGTTAAATCTATTAATATATAATTTAAAAAAAAAATGTTTGCCTCAAAAAAAAATTCGGTGAAATTCACATTTATGGATCAACGTTTTAGAAGAAAAGTTATTTTTCTATATATATTCTTTCTTTCTATTTTTTTCTTTTCTAAATAAAATTTTCCAACGTTTCTTGAACAGTAAATTTTTAAAACAAAAATTTGTAAAAAAAAATTATATTTTCAATTATTTTCCAAAAAAAAAATTGTTATTTCTTTAAATTAACAATTCTTCTTTAATTTTACAGACAAAAAAGCGACGTGGGGGTGTCAAAAACTGGAATGCAAGCACCTGAGACAGAAACTGAAGATGAAGAAAAAAAAGAAGAAGAAGAAAAAGAAGAAAGAAGTAGTTGACATTTTCAACGCAATTCATGATTATCGGAAGGACGACGAATTAAGAAAACTGAATAAATCTATATTATATATATACACACACACATATACACAATTAAACAATAATACATGTATACACAAATATATTTGTCAATTCTCGATAAGAAAAAAAAAAAAAAAAAAAAACATCGTTGAATCAATACATTTGTATGTGTATGCATGTATTGAATACAATTTGGTAACCTCGATAAGTCAGGAAAACTTATTGCGCACAGAACGAATCAAGAAACGAAAAATACGATATTCAAATTGCAAAAGAAAAAAAAAAAAAAGTGCACCCTATCTACATAATGTAATCAGCGAATAAGAATTTACAGCAGTTGAGTTCATTTAAGCGCGAGAAGGTCACACTATTCTTCTTCTTAACTATTATTGTACATCTTATTATAAAAAAAAAAAAAATTAACAAAAATAACAAAAAATAACAAAAAAAAGAAAAAGCAAATTTTAAGAAAAAAGTGTTTGTATGTAGGAGGAGAAATGGAAAACTGGAAATACGACGGTGACCTCTGCGATGCATTATGTGTAAATTATTGAATGTCAATGTAAAAGTATTGTAAATATTTAAAAAAAAAAAAAAAAAAAAAAAACACAAAAAAAAACACAAAAAAAAATTGAAAGAAAAGACGTCGAATCAAGATTTCCCGAGAGCCTGGAGGGAAAAAATAAACGTGCGTGATGGAAAAGTGAGATAAAAAAAAAAATACGAGCGATCAAAAAAAGAAAAAAAAAAAAAAAGAGCTGAGAAAAAAAAATGAGAGAATGAGAGCGAATGAATGTGCGCCGAAAGAAGAACGTATAGGACGAGAAATGACTGCATACAAAAAGTAAAGGAAGAAGAAGGGTTGATTCGAAAATTTCGCAAAAGGTGGGGTTTATAACCACAGACAAGGGATATATAGAAAACGAACTTCAGAAAGGCAAAAAAAAAAAAAATAATAATAATAAAAAAAGAAAAGAACCGTCTTAGTACGGAACACCTTCCTATTTTTGCCTTCTATATTGGCGTCCTGATTTTGTTCCAGGCCTTATGAATTTTTAGACGACGTTCACGGATTTCCTATTTTTTATTTTTATGTATATAAGCCAAATTATTTTATCTTAATCACGCTCGCCATTATCGCTTTACTTCGTGGCATTAATAGCACAATAATTTAATATATTTCGCGTAGGCTTCTATATAAATATTTTTTATTTTTTTGTTTCCTTTTTTTTTTTTGTTTTTGTCGGAAAAAATTCTAAAATAATTTTTTTTTTTCGTTGATCCCTCTTTCAGGATCTAATTTTTTGACAAATTTAATTTGCATTCAATTTTTAACCTACCGGTTGATCTCAATAAAGATTTAAAAAAGAAAAGAAAATTGACCAGCCTGTAGAAAATTTTTTTTTTTGTTTTTTTTATTTATTTAAGGCTATAAACAAAGTGCGATCTATCTTTTAAAAAGTATGATTCTCTGCTAAACATTTTTTTTTTTTTTAATATTAAAAACGAGAAAAAATGTAACTAAAAAAAAACGTGCTACGTAGATTTTAGTTTTTGGGAATGATTATAAACGCCTTTAAAAAGCGTTTCTTTTTATGGAATAGATAAAGATGGTTTTCAGTTTAAGAAATTGTGATTCATTGAATCAGGGCGCGAAATTGGAATATGGATCTTTGGAGGACCATTACTCAGATTTAAAAGAAAAAGAAAAAGAAAAAAAAAAAAAAAAAAAAAAAAAATGATGAAAAATGCAATCGTTGTCTACTGGTCCATTAATGACCAAATTTATTAACTGTAGTTGCAACTTCCTCCCTCTAAAAAATAAAAATTTCAAACTAAGACCACCCAGTACACTTAAGTGTAAAAAAAAAAAAAAAAAAAACAAATTTACCACAAAAAGCGAGCAATGTTGCTCACTTTGTGCCCCTAATGCTACATTTTAAGATACTTTAAAGTAATTCATGTATGATATATTTAAAAAAAAAAAAAAAAGAAAAAATAAATAAATAAAAAAAAAAAAGTATCGTCGCATCGTCTCATACACATTCAAAGAGTACAAATTCTATAAGTCCCTGTATCGCGTCACCTGTTCTAAATGCCGAATAGTTCGGTTTATTGAATGCTCCGCATGATCGAAGACAAAACTTAGGAAAAAGGGTTTGAGAAAGTTAACTATAATAAAGATAAATCGAAAAGATAAAAGTTTTATAGGTGAGAGAGAATGTATATGAGGAAATTGAGAGATCGGATCGAAAAGAATGAGGAACGTAAATACACGAATAGACCCCAGATTGCGTATAAATGATATTTGTAGATTTAAAATCTAATCGCAGAATTTTCATTCTGAATAAGAATTAAAAAGAAAAAAAAAAAAAAAAAAAATAAATAAAACATTGAATGATTGAACAACTAAAGTTTTGCGTAATAGATTTAAGTAAACGACTAGATAGACTGACATACAAAAGTAACGAGTGATCTCTTGAAAGTGAGTTGGAATGGGTGATTTGAAAAAAAAAAAAAGAAAAGCAACATCATCGTAAATTATTTTTCAAAATTCATTATTAGTAAGAGTTGATCTCATCAGTTATTTAAGATTTATTTAATATAAACCGTTTGTTTAAAATAATTCTTTATTTAAAAAAATAAATAATCTTCTATTTGGAAGAAAATTTCTTTGAATGTAAAATTTTTCTTATTGAAAAAAAAAGTTTTGAAAAAAAAAATATTATTTAAATAAAAATTTGGGATAATAAAATTTAGTTTTGTAAACAAGGTCCTAGCTGTTTTTTTTTTGAATAAAAATTGTTTTAGGATAAAAACGAATCTCAACTCTCTCGCACAGACCAAGCCAATTGAAATATTTTCAGCGAGGCGTTGCCGCATATTTTAATATCTCGTGTGTAATGAATAATATAAAAGTGCATTGTTGTATCAACAATGTAATTATTTAATGTAACTCTACGTTCACATATATATATATATATAAATATAGAGCCAACGAGACATAACCATATTGGTTATTAAGTATATAAATTATTGCGGCAAAAGTCTTAATCTTTTTTGATGGGATTCGATCCTAAAATAATAAAATTAAAAATTTTCGTTAAATTCCAATTTTTTCTTCTCAGCTGACCTTTGTTTTAAAGTGAAAATTCAAATTTTTCTTTTAATAATTGCTTTTTATTATTTAATATTTATAATGTCAAGAAAGAATAAAAATTATAATTTTTTTTTTAAATTTCAATAATTTATTAGTCATTAGTCATTATTATTAAAACTTGGTAAAAAAAAAGAAAATTATCTGAAGGAAGTAATTTTTGCAGAGTCATTGCAAAGAATTCTTTTTTTTTTTTTTAGGAGGGTTAAAAATAAATGTCAAAGAAAAGTGAATATATGCAATATTGGAAAATAGAGAGACAAAGCGCGAGGTTCAAATGAAATGTATTGCGAAACCTTATATAAATAGCAAAACCAAAAAAAAAAACAAAAAAAAAAAAAAAAAAAAAAAAATTACACAAAAAATCTACAAAGCATTAAAAATCAATTTCAAATGGAAGAAGAAAAAAAAAGTAAACATAATTAAAAAGCTAACGCTAAGAAATTTTAGTGAGTAAATTGCAGTAAAATGATGAATGTCTTTTTGAACGTGTTATGCGTAATAATATTAATAATAATAAAATAATAATAGTTAAAAAAAAAAAAAAAAAAAAACGGAAGCACCTCCGTAATAATTTTTTTTTTTTTTCATTGATTTCTTCGATGAGATCAAAAGACCTATACTGATTGTACATGTGCTTTTGGCTTTTTTTTTAATAACCTACAAAACTTAGCAAGATATTATGTACTCTATATAAAAAAACAAAAAAAAAAAAAGGGGGGGAGCACATTTGCCCGATGTATTTAATGCGCGCGCGCTCTCTTTTTCTTCTTTAAAGCCTCAGCTTTTTTCGCAAAATGACAAGTCAATTTAGATACATGCACGTAAATAATACGCTATTACTCGAGTATTTGAGCACGTATGATGAGCGATTGTCTTGAATGCATGAGTGAAATATTCATCATCATCATCATCCCACATAAAGTGAGAATCAAAAAAAAAAAAAAAAAAAAAAAAGAAAGAAAAGAAAAAAAAATTACAAGATTCTGTCAGGATTGTTCTTGGATTTTTTTCCTCGCGATTAATGCCATTTTTATAATATTTGTAATTTTATTCTTTCTTATATCAATAATAATTAGATAACGAAGCTGAAATACGCAACCTTTATGATAAACGATTTTTAAAGAAATAATTTGAAAATTTTTATAATTTTTTGCCTAAAAAATATTTTTTTTATAATTTGTTGATTAATGAAAACTAAAAGAAATATTTTTTAGGCAAAGAATTATAGAATTTTTTATTTTAAAAAATTATTTTTTTAAAAATTTGTTTATCATAAACTTTGCGTACTTCAGCTTCGTATTAGATATATTATTGCATTTTTTTTTTAAATTAACTATTAGGCAATTAATTCTTTAGATAATATAAAACTCATTTCTTATTAATGTATTTTACTTTCTTCACTTACTATATTAATAATTATTATTGATTAATAAAAAAAATGTCTTTACTGTCAATTACTTTATTTATTATTAATTTATCATTGTAGCAATTTTTCAAATTTTCAATAAATATCAATTTCTCAATTTTTTTGTTATCTCAATTACAACAACAACAACAACAAAAATAATAATTTTTTTTTCCGTGAAATAATTTTTGAAATTATATTTTTTCTTTTGCTTTTGTATTAAAAAACAAAAATATGTAGAAAATTTTTTTAATTTTGTTTTGAATAATATAAAAAATTTTTTTTAAAATAAATAAAAAATAATTTAAAATCAAATATAAAGTATTATTTTTTAAAAAAATATTTGTAAAAATGTTTTATCAATTTTTATAACAAAATTTTGTTTTTTATTAAGAATCTATAATTTTATTATTATTTTTAAATGTACCTGAAAATCTAAACGTTCAAATGAAGGAAAAATTTTTAACAAATTTTTTTAACTTCAAAATTTTATTAATAAAAATATTGTTTTCTGTATCCAAATATGAATAAAAAATTAAATGAATTTCAAAAAAAAAAAAAACTATTGACCAAAAAAATGATTTTGTTCATTTGATCGTTCAGAATTTCAGTCATATATTTTAAAAATTTACCAATTTTTAATTTATAGACAATTTCACTATTATCAAATAAATATTTATTTGTATCAAATAATTATTATTTGAGTCAATTAAATGGTATTTGTTTCAAATACAGAAAAATTATTGATTCAAATACAGTTTATTTAATTCGAATAAAAATTATTTGGTTCAAGTAAATATTTATTTGATATTAGTCATGTTTTCGAATATTTGAATTAAATCAATTTTTTTTCATTTTTCTTTATTATTATTATTATTATTATTATTATTATGAATGTTGCAAAAAAGTGTGCTTTTATTTTTCTCTTTTCTAATCCCGTTTACACTATAAATAAATAAATAAATAACAAAATTCAATAAATTAAAAAAAAAAAAAAAAAAAATTGAGAAATTTGGCAAAAAGAAATTTTTTCCAGTGGTCCAGTGGAGGAAAAATATCTGTGCGATCCCATTTTTGAAGCATGGATGACACTGACAATGAGCGCAATCCGCTTCTATTTGCCCGCGAGACCAAAATATAAATCTGATACATCGGGCCAGTTTGCTTTCCCGAAAATGTGATATTAAAATTAAAAAAAAAAACGAAATGACATGAGACCACGATTCGAAATGATAAAAAAAAATCCGTATAGAAAAAGACGTAGGGGTTGAGTTTTGTCAAGAGAAAGTTCATTGAAGGGTGTGTGCGAGATTTTGATCCGGCGAAAAGCAATCGATTCTATATATAAATATATATATATATATATAGTTTTTACTTGTAACAAGTAAAACCACGTTGTAAACTGTGAATTAATAATTTAACTGGGTATATAGAAAAAAAAAGAGGGGGAGAAGGGGCACAGATCACATACAGCAGCAACATGAACTGATACAGTATTGACGCAGATTACAAAAAAAAAAAAAAAATATATAAAAATTAAAAAAATAAAAAATAAAACAAGAATGAAAAAAAACGTGTTACTCCAGCCGCTAGAATAAATGTAAGTGTAATTCTCGGTACATAATTGTTGTTATAAACCTGGATTTAAGAGCTTGCTCTAAAAACCAAATTTTTTTTTAATACAAAAAAAAAAAAAAAAAAAATTGAACAAACGAACGAGCTTTTAAATCCGCGGGGCAATGCAACAGTGTCCCAGTCTAACATTTAAGGATCTTTAAGTAATATTTGATTGATAACAGAGATGATGAACTAAGGAGAAAATACAAAATATTGAAATAATAATGAAAAATGGGTGTTATTTTTAGATGTCTATTAGATTATCGGAACCAGAATTAAAGAAATAAAAAAAAAAATAAAAGCTTAAACATAAAAACGAATAAAAAAAAAAAGAATACCTACTACTACCTACTACTGTAATAAGAATAAAAGGATATTAAAGAATGAGAAATCTTAGTTGACGCAAATTTCACAAAAAAAAAAAAAAAAAAAATGTATAAAACTCCGAACACCATTTCGGATAAAACATCGATAAAAAAAAAATGATTTTCAAAACTTGCAAAAAAAAAAAAAAAATTTACTTTCTTTTTTTCTATTATTATAAAACACGTCCACTTGTAAATTTATTGGCTCATTATTTTTTAAAACATGAAAATAATATGAAATAAAAATAATAAATATGAAGAATATTTGCTCGATGTATCGGTATCCGAAATTGTGATTTCAAAAAGAGTCCCATATACTTATGTGGGAAAGCGATTAGCGCGTCTAGTTTGTTATAACGTGCTCGTCGTTCTCTCGCATTCTAAAAATAAAAAAATAAAACAAAAAAAAAAAAAAAAAAAAAAATACAATTTTTCCTCCAGATAATTTGCTGCTTTCATTGTTTAGATGAGTATTATAAATGAGCGTAAGGGAGAAATAATGCAAAGTACTAGAGAGAGAGAGAGTGAAAGAGAGAAAAAAAAATGAGAATGTGAACTCTAAGCCTGTCCTCGTTATGTCTCCAGTACTTTCTATCCAAAATCCCTTTTCTCCTTTTTTTTTTATCACTAAAAAAGAAAAATATGTCCAAAGCGTCAATTTGAAAAAAGCTCTTTGTTTATGTAATTGAAAACAAAAATGGTTACATAAAATTTATACTACCAGAGATTTCTTTATTAAAGAGTTATAAAAAAAAGTTATTAAATTTTAATTAACCATTTTTTTTTCCTCATTGAGTAAAAAAATGAAAAAGTGGTAAAAACTTGTTCGTGAGAAAAGTGCGGTCCTTTTCTTCGAATTGTTATTAAATCCACAAGAAAAAAATAAAAAAAAGGAGACGGCGATTAAAGAAAGTGAATATTATATAGAATGGTAGGCATATCAGAGGGCGAGCTAGAGATTTTATTTTGGATAGGATG